CGGGGAGGTCACAAATTATTACAATATATTTGTATTCCGTATTTTTTCTCGCGTCTTTTCTGTGGGAATTCGTGCGTGTGCGCGCCCCTGGCCGATATATTTATCTTTCACGAGAAGGAGGGAGGGAGGTGGGGGGGGGAGGTCACAAATTATTCATTTTTTCCCGTTTCAAAATATTTATTTTTCATACCATCGATAATTCGTGAGATAGCGCGCGTCGGGCTGTTTTTCCTCCCGTATCCCGCCCTTTTTCCCCCGTTTTCCAGTGTTTTTCCGCGTTACGCGCTGTTTTCGCGACGATTATTTTCGCAGTTGGCGACGCACGTCACCTTATCACGGGGCAACCACGATCCTTCGTTCGATCGACCGCGGGTTCTGTTCGCCGCCAAGGCAGCAGCACAGCCGCCATGAAAACCGTTTGGCGCGTATCGCGGACGTGACTCGATTTTTCCATCGCGCGAGCGTATCACGCGCTACGCTTTCCCGTTCATTTATTGGGAAAGTTTCCCCCCGAGCGTCCAGCGTTCCGGATGCGAGAGGATGTCGTGGGCCCGTAATGATCTTGTTAACGGATGCAGCACCACGAACGGCTGGCCGCTATCGTATCATACCACTATACACTCACCTCGACATGAGGGAGAGGCCAGGCAGGTAGAGAGGGAGGTAGGGAAGAAAGGAGGACTGCTAGCAACTAATAGAGCATTTTGCAAAAACGGCCTCACGAGAACGTGTAAACGTGCTGCTGCAACCGTTGCGCGCGTACCTCGTTCGTACGCGTTTCTTTGCAGCGCGATGGCGACATTCCGTGCGGGTCTTCTGGTGATCCCAACGGAGCAATCGTCGTATACGAAGTGCCATTGTCGATCATCGTCCGCGCGATTGTCCATGTCCGCTCGTAAAAAAAGACTCGGTCTCTACAACTGAAGAGGGAGACGAGAACTCGGTGACGGGAAATGAAAACTCGGTGACATGAAATGATATCTCTGTTACCGCGACTGAGCACATTCGTGTGAACATTCGGCTTCGCATTAGAGATCAATTGGGACAACTGAGAGCGATTGACTGAGCGGAAACTTCCCACAGGAATCCTCCCACTGTTCCTACAACATTCTTTTCACTTGGTTCCCAAGCAACGGAAAATTCAGTTAAGCCAACGGAATCGTTTTTTCCGCGCATTCGGATTTTCTAAAAACATTTCACAAGTTTCAGAAAACCTTTCCCAAGCGGTTAGTGGACTCGCGAATGCGTTCTTAATGTAGTTGGTCCGTCGAATCATTTTCTTAGGAATCTTTTTAAATTTTAGCTGCATATTAATGAAAATACACTGACTTTACGTCTGCGAAGTCTGAAAACGATTGATTGACTATTCGGAAGTCGGGATGTTCGCAACTGAAGGTGATACTTTTTATACGTATTTCTTGAGAATAATATTGCATTTTTAACTTCTATTTTCAATTTCTTCTAAACCGTATTTAGGATTTTAATGGAAAACTAAAACTTGTGATATTAAGAATTAATAGAAAGATATGCAAAAATTTCAGAATTTTTGATCGTTTTGTTTTGAAGTTTTTAAGCCATGGGAAATTTACAATTTATAGTAACGTCCGTGACATACATGTACATATATGCATATTTAAATATTTATATACCACATTCCCTCCTTATTATACGTGCATCTCTATTAGCTCAACTGACTATAAATCAAGAATTAATAAGAAAAATAAATAAATAGTATCTTCGTGCTTGCAATATTGTGTGTATATTTCTCTTAATTTCGCTCAAAATTAACAATTATCATTGAGAGAGTAAAACAAAGTTATAGGAAAGTATTTTTCCTATAAACAATAAACTTGCGAAGGATCGTCCCCTTAATATCGCGATTGAGAATCTGGCAGCACGGACCAACTACTTGAAATCTCCTCGGTCTTTCGCACACTTACGAAAAGCTTATCGAGCGCGATCGGCCCTTCGCAGGCCTGCTATGCTTTCTTAAATCTCTCTCCAATCTCGAGGAGCACGCGCGATAATCAGATCCTCGAATTATCAGTCGCTTGCTCGCCCCTTCGCTCATTCGGTGCTTCATTCCGCTGAACAACGCAGCCAGCGAACTCGATCGCTTTTCTCCGGACTTTTATATCCCAGTCGTCTCGATTCTCCGATCGTTCCCGCCGTTACAGCCTTCCTCTTCTGCGCGTTTACTCTGTCTCAGTGCACGGAGAAGTGCGGCGATCGTTTCTCGGGGAAAGCCGGAGAGCGTTTTGACGACGTCGCGTACGGTCGTTCGTGCGAACGACCGGCGAAGGAAAACCGGCGACGGTTTCGCGGAAAAAAGAACCGACACACACACACTCGCACATGTACATACTCATACACACATATACACACGAGCCAGTTTGAAATGCAAATCTCTCTCAATATGGACGACATCGGTCGGGATAAGATCCACAGTAATACATCGCGCCGACAGCCGGCATCCGCCGAGCCGAGCGGAGCCGGTCGGTGCATATTCAGCGTCTTCGCATGAGTCAGGTACACCCAAGCGCACTTCATCAAGTCGCTCTGTGCTGTACTGGTAACCCAGTATCCCGCGACCGCTGTCTGCCGACGTCACCGTGGTGACCTATCGCGGATTAGGTCGCGTTTCCGACAGGCTCGCTAATATATCAACCGCCGAGCCGACGTGTAACAACCCGATTAACGTCACCGTCCGTCGAATTTTCGCGGCGACGCGCGGTCGGATCGTTTCTACATCTAGCGGAGAGACCACCGTGTATGTATGTATACAGGGTGGCTCAGTAATCGTGGTACAACCGAGGACTCCTCTTGAAAAAATAAATCAAAAATGTAGAATTAAAGTTTTTCATACGGGACTGTTTCCGAGAAAATCAACTTCCGAGGCCGGTCGAGCACGCGTACACTTAACTAAGGCATCGTTGAACCCGGTTTCGATTGTACGTAGAACAATCATGCATTCGATATGCTTGTAACGATACTATGATCTGTTGCCTTGTTACGTTTCGATTTAAATTATGAGTTTCGCTTTCAACTATCGGTTTCTATCAACTTGTTACAATAACAAGATATACTGATCTGGAATATGTACGGATGTGCTGCTTACATTGGGAACACGTGGTGACAGGACATCGGCATGTATTTTGTTTAACATTGACATGTTGGTCTTAAACAAATGAAATATGATCCATACCGAAATCCCTTTAACGACGCTTAGTTAAGTGCACGTGTACTCGATTAGCTTTTAAACGTCCATTTTCTCGAAGACAGAACGTCACGCGAGAAACTTTTTATTCCACATTTTCAATTTATTTTTTCAAGAGGGATCATCCTCTTCCCCATTGCACCACGATTACTGGGCCACCTTGTATATTTATGTGTGTGTGTGTGTATGTGCATCTCTCGCTCTCTGTCTGTGCGTTCTTTATTGACCTCGTGGAAAACCCTCCGGGATAAACTGTTGTCGGACGTTCTCGCAAAGCCGACTTTTTATGACTGAAAGCCGGCTGACGTCTTCCCTTATGTCCGGGACGAGAAGTTCTTCTGGGCCGGCTTCTAAATCCCATTTCGACGTTGCAACGTCTCTCGAGGAAGAGAAGAGAGAGAATACTCCTCTCGTGCCTCGTATTGTTTCGTTATATCCGAGGAAATCGGAGTATCCGTCGGAAGTTGTCGCGAGACTGATGGATTGGTGTGCTCCCAGTCTCTCTCTCTCTCTCTCTCTCTTTCACTTCGACTGGGAAACACCGATCTTCCGAGGGCAGATTTTTCCGGTTTTTCGCTCGCGAAACCTCCGCTTGAATTCGACGTTAGATTACGAATTCGCGCTCGTCGCGGCGAAGTTTCCGCCGGACGCCGGCGGGATTACAGTTAGGGAGGGAAATGACCCGCCGGGCAATGTTCTCCGAACGCAGCTTTGCACGCGACATTTTCGTTCGCGAAGTTTCACTCTCGCGGGAACTTCGACGAGGCCTCCTCGTGACGATAAACATCGCGAGAGAAGGACAGAGAGAGAGCGGCGAGTCCCGGCGGGAGCGGCACGCTCGTTCCGATCTTCAGATCGAGAGTTTGCCGGGACACTTTTAACTCGGCATTATTTCACGCGACGTTCGCGCAATGGCCGATGCCACTTTAAGCAAGTTTGTCGTAACTAAGACCCCGCGAGTTCGCGAGTTGCCGAGTGAAAGGGAGAAACAACCCGCCGGGGGTCACGCGAGCCGGCGTTCAATTTTCACTCCCCCGAGCAACGATTCCACGCGGCGTGATTCCTCGTCCCCCGCGATCCGCGAGCAATTCCGCCGCCCGCGATTCGCCCCCGACGAATCTTCTTCTTACATCCTGCCACCGAGATCCGGAGTCGATTTTCCAATTATCGCGCCCGGCGACGATCAATTAGCGGCGCGCAGGCGCGCGTGTGCGGAGACGCGCGATCGGCGACGTCCCGACGTGCCGGAGGTGGAAATGATATTCCGATATCCGATTATACGCCGATGGGGCCGGCGAACGTATTTATCCGAAATAAGGTCCATAATGCGCCGATTATTCGATCGGGAGCGGGCGTGAGCGTAAGAAGGCCGCGAGATCGCGCACGCGCGCGTATTAGTCGCTGATTAGACCATTATGCCTCCGGATCGGGCTCGTCCGGGTCGTGACGGTCGCTCTCCAGCGACAGGAAGTCGATGTCGCGACGCA